AGTAAGATGTCCCCGATACTTCATAAAAGTCACGATACTTCATAAAGTTACGAAAACTTTAGTAAGATGCCCCGAAAACTTCAGTAAGATGTCCAAAGTACTTCCCTAAGATTCAAAGATACCAGTAAATGTCACGATACTTCCTTTAAAATTCACGATTCCTTTAGTAAGATGTTCGTACTTCAGTAAGATTCCCCATACTTCCCGTAATGTTTTAGTGTTTTGTTTAATTGTTTTCTTTTATGGGTATTTTTTCCCAACTCCCCTTATTTTCGTCATGATAATTTTTAAAAATTTCCAGTTTAATTTAAATGACTAGAGAGTGATTTTATGGCCCGTTTTGTATCTGTTTGTTGTGATTTTTGTTTTTGATGTTTTTGTTGTGAGGTTTTTGTTTGATGTTTTTTGGGTTTGAAGCTGTTGTTGTGATGCTGTTTGTATTTTTTTTGAGTTGTTTGTTGTTTTTTGTTTTTTTGTTGTGTTTTTGTTGTTTTTTTGATGCTGTTGTTGTGAATTTTTGTTTGTGTTGGTTTTTTGTTTTTTTGTGATGCGTTGTTGGGGATTTGTTGGGTTTTGATCGTTTTTTGTGAGTTTTTTTGTGATGTTTTTTGTTGGGTTTGTTTTTGGGGATTTCTTTTTATTTGTTGTTTTATTTTTTTTGTTGTTTTGTTTTTGTTGTGATGTTTGTTGTGATGTTTGTTTGTATGTTGTTGTTTTTATGTTGTTGTTTTTGGATGTTTTTTGTTTGTTTTATTTTGTTTTTTGTGATTTGTTGTTGTGATTTTTTGTTGTTTGTGATTTTTTGTTGTTTTTGTTTGTTGGTTTTTTGTGATTTTTTTGTTGTTTGTTTTTGGTTTTTTTTGGGATGTTTTTTTTGTTGGGGTTTTTGGTTTTTTGTTGTGATGTTTTTTTGTTGTGTTGTTTGGGTTTGTTTATGTTTGTTGTTGTATGTTGTTGTTGTGATGTTTTTGTTGGTTTGGTTTTTTTTTGTTTTTGATGTTGTTGTTGGGGATGTGTTGTTGTATTTTGTTGTTGTGGGTGTTTTTTTGTGAAGGTTTTTTTTTTGTTGTTTTTGTTTGTTGTGAAATTTTTTGGTTTAGTTTTGTTGTGATTTTTGTTTGTTTTTGATGCGTTGTTGTGATTTTTGGTTGTTGTGTGTTGTTGTTTTGTGATGTTTTTGTTGTGATTTTTGTTTTTGTGATGTTTTTGTTGTGAGGTTGTTTTGTGATTTGTTGTTGTGATTTGTTTTTGTTTATGTTTTTTTGTGATGGTTGTTGTGATTTTTTGTTGTGATTTTGTTGTTGTGATGGTTGTTGTATTTTGTTGTTTTGAGCTGTTGGTTTTATGCTGTTGTTGTGATGCTGTTTTTTTGTGATGTTTTGTTTTGATTTTTTTGTTTGTTTTTTGAGTTGTTGTTGTAGCTGTTTTGGATGCTGTTGTTTTTGTGTTGTTTGTTTTGATGTTGTTGTTGTTTTGGTTTTTTGGGTTTTGATTTGTTTTTGTGATGTTTTTGTTGTTTATTTTGTTGTTGTGATGTTTTTTTTTGGGTGTTTTTGTTGTGATTTTGTTGTTTATGTTGTTTTTTTTGGGGAATTTTGTTGTTGTTTTAGCTGTTGTTGTGATGTTGTTTTTGTGATGTTGTTGTTGTGGTTTTTTTTGTTGTTTTGATGGGTTTTTTGTTGTAATCTGGGGTTTTTGTTTTTAAACTGTTTTGTGATGCTGTTTTGTGATGTTGTTTTTTGATGTTGTTTTTGTGATGTTTTTGTTTTGATTTGTTGTTGTATGTTGTTGTTGTGATTTTTTGATTTTTTTGTGATGTGTTGTTTTTGATTTTGTTGTTTATGTTGTTTTGTGATGTTTTTTGTTGTTTATGTTGTTGTTTGTTGTTGTGTTGTGGTTTTTGTTTATGTTTTGTTTTTTTGTTGTGGGGTTTGTTGGGTTTTATCGTTTTTTGTATGTTGTTTTGTGATGTTGTTGTTTGTTTTTGCGTTTTTGTATATTTGTTGTGATCTGTTGTTGTGATGCTGTTGTTGTTTATGTTTGTTGTTTTTTGATTTTGTTGTTGTTGTTTGGTTTTTGTGGTTTTTTTTGTTTTTTTGTGATTTTTTTTTGTTGTTGTGATGCGTTTTTGTGATTTTTTGTTGTGATGTTTTTTTGTGATTTGTTGGTTTTATGTTGTTTGTTGTGATGTTGGTTTTTTGTGATGTTTTTTGTTTGTGGTTTTTGTTTTTGTTTTTTTGGGGATGGGTTTGTTGTGATGTTGTTGTTGGGGGTTTTTTTGTTGGGGTTTTGAGGGTTTTTGTTTTGTGATGCTGTTGTTGTGATTTGTTGTTGGGTGGTTGTTTTTTTGTTGTTTTTTGTTGTGATTTGTTGTTGTGATGTTTTTGTTGTATGCTGTTTTGTGGGTTTGTTGTTGTTTAGGTTTTTTTGTTGTGGATGTTTTTGTTGTGATTTGTTGTTTTTGATGTTTGTTTTTGTGATGTTTTTGTGTGGGTGCTGT